ATATAATGTCAGTACAGTACAGTTTGCCCCCCCCCCCATGTACATTAATATAGAGTATTGTAATGTAAACTGAACTGTGCCCTAATATATCGTAACATGAACCGTGGAATTTCTCAGATTAGTTCCGTCGAATCCAATGTTTTCCATATATATATTGTGCTGGAAATTCCTCTCAAGCACTGATTGCAGTAAATATGTTGTGCATGTGTTCGCCGACATACCCTTCGACGCTATTATCATAGAAAATGCGCAAAATTTAAAACTCATTCACCAAGATGCTTTCACAGGCGACGGCCAGTATCGCGTTAAACGCGTGGACATTGTTAATACACCCGTAAGCGACAAAAATAGCGTGGCCAATTATGATTTGTTCAAGGCAATTCAAAGCATGCCGAACCTGGCTAATTTGAGGCTAACAAAAACCAACTTGACCACAATTCCGGGGAATGGTATAAAAGGATTCTACGATCTCCAACACATTTACATCGAGCAAAATAAGGCCCTGAAAAGTATTAGCTATAACGCGTTCAAAGATTTAAAAAAGTTAAAAACCCTTCAAATTAAGGGTAATGAAGCCCTGCAAGAGATCGCGAGTACAGCGTTTCCTATTAGCGAAGGCGCCTCAAAAGATCCTCTGGAAATCCGCTTAATTGCCGATCATTTAAATTATGCTAAACTTTTGAGCACTACTTTTGATGGTATCAATAGACCCGTCAGTCTATACGTTACCGACAATGGCTTAGAATTTATTAATCAGACGATTTTTGAGCGGTTTGTCAAACAAAACCCATTGAATGTGATTATATCGGACACTGAATGCGAGAATAGTAATAATGATTGGTTGAGAAAAACTTATCCAAAACAGTGGAATGATGTGAATTGTTTTTAAATTATTATATAATTAAATGTTGAATAGAATTTTAGTTTTAATAACAATTATACTAACTTTATATACTAATTAATTCATAATTTGTAGAACTTTTAAGTATATTAATATAATAATTTAATAAAAAATTAAATTACTCATTCATTTACAATTTATATTTTACATTTAACTAATTGTAATTGGTTAGGTTGAAATTATAATATTATTAACTACTATATAGAAAGTGTCTATGAAAAATATAAAACATTAATATCCAATGAGAAAAATACAATTTTATATAATTCTAGAACATAATACAGTAGTACATTAGTAGATAATACATTAGTACATTAAATTTTTTAAAACATAGAATCTAGATACTCAAATAAAATAAATATAAAATACATGAGTTTTAATTAATTTGTGATTACAATTAATAGTGTATATATTGAACAATAGTTTGCTAAAATTCTTCACAATAACTTTGGGTGGTTAAATTGTTTTCAAAATTTAAAATAAATATAAGTCGTAGCATTATAATTCGTGTTAATAAAAAATAAATTTGTCAACATTTAATTCTGTTAGAAATTTATATCCTGTTATAAATATTATGTGAAAATACTTAATTTGAACATGTTAAATTAAGCTTGTTAAACCAGAAAATATAATGGGAGACATCGGGCTAATCTTTTATAAGTGTTTTTGTAACTTTTGTTTTCTAAGTAATTCAATAATAACTCATGAAGTGAGATAACGATGATCAAAGTTAATAAGAAACAACTTACACAACAATTGACTAAATAATAGTTTATCTTATAAACTATAATCGAACTTTTTATGACAATTATACAGGCAATTCTAATTTAATATTATATTTATACAAAATAATAAAATTTGTATTTAATTTATTTTAATATTATAAATTATGATTTATAATACATTTTATTTTTAATTTAATTATGAAAATTAAATTAATAAGAATAAACTAGTAAAACAATTATTATAATATTGATAACATCTGTTTAGGTAACATAGATTTATAATTAAGGATAATGTACTCGATATTAGGACATTATTAGGACATTATTAGGATATTATTACCTAATGATGTGGGTAATTCTGCAATACTTCCTACGTATTTAGATTAGATAAATGTAATCCATTTGGCAATGGAAATACAGTATAAATAGCGAGTCATAATTAAATAAAAATATAATAAAAATAGTATTTTAATTTAATAGTAAATTTAAAATACAATAAATTAGAAAATGAATAAACTTTGTAAGTATTTAAGAACTAAATAATAGTTTTAATACTGAATATTAATTAAAATGATATTAATTAATAGTAAATTTATTGGTCGTCGCGGCTTTAATGGCCATGGTTACTGCGGACAAAATCTGCCCGGATGCCACATTAATAAAAGCACCATGCAAGTTTGTGGAGGTGGCTAACATTAAATGCGCGATCGAGTGCGACAGCGGAGCACTCGATTTAGTGGCCATTTTTAAAAGCCTTCAAACATCACTGAAAGCCGAGGAAAAAACATTTGTACGGTTTGTATTGAAAAACTCAAAAATCACTGAACTTCCGGCCAATGTGTTCGCCGACATTAACTTCGATGCTATCATTATTGAAGATGCCCTAAGTATGAAAAAAATTCACCAAGCAGCTTTTAATGGTGGAGCGTACAGGGTCAAACGTTTAGACATTATTAACACACCCGTAAACGAGGATACTATCACGGGTGGTGACCTATTCGCTGCCATTCAAAGTCTACCCAATCTAGCTAACTTGCGGCTAATTAAAACTAATTTGACCATGATATCGGCGAATGGTATAAAATCTATGAACGAACTCATGCATATTTACATCGAGCAAAATAAGGCGCTGAAAATAATTGGCCATAATGCGTTCGTGAATTTACCTAAGCTAAAAACACTTGAAATTAAGGACAACGCGATCGAGAAGATACTGTATACAGCGTTTCCCATCAATACTGTCGCCTCTAAAGATCCCCTGGAAATCCGCTTAATTGCCGATCATTTGTCATACGATGCACTCGTGGCCACTACTTTCGATGCCATCAATAGACCCGTCAGTCTATACGTTACGGACAATGGCTTTCAATATATAAAACAAGCGATATTTGAGTCGTTTGTCAAACAAAACCCATTGAATGTGATTATATCGGACACTGACTGTGAGGACACTAATAATGATTGGTTGAGAAAAACGTATCCCAAACAGTGGAATGACGTGAATTGTTTTGGATTAATGAACGCCCAAGCTCGTTTGTCTAAAGGACTTAGACTTTGAGCTTGTAAAATTTTGTTTTTACTTAAATAAATTATGATAAACATTTAAATTATAATTGCTAGTACATTTAT